CAAGCTGGGGGGGGGGGGGGGGAGGGGCGGGCTCTGGGGCCAGGGTCGAGGGGACTCCAGCTTGCAGGCCAGGGGCAGGCCAGGGCAGGGCGCGGGGCTGCGTCCTGGCCTTTAAAGCCGGGCGACAGGTCCTGCCAGGGAGCAGCCAGCCAGCTACAGCAGCAGCAGCGCCGGCGGCGGCCCTCACCCCAGCGCCTGGCAGAGCACCACGGGCGCGGCGCCCTGCAGCCGCCCGCCGCCCTGCGGGTGCGCCACGTCCAGCTGCGCCGCGGCGGTGGTCTGGATGACGATGGCCGACAGCGGAGCCTTGCCGTTCATGACCCTGGCCTCGCTGCAACGGCAGGTTGGTGTGTGTGCGTGCATGTGTGCATGTGACATGTGTGTGCATACAGGACAGCAATCCAACCATCAAGGGCAATGTGTGTGTGTGTGTGTGTGTGTGAGAGAGAGAGAGAGAGAGGGGGGACGGGGGGAGAGGTCCCCCCTGACCAGGACCCGCAGCCCCAGCCCCGCGGCCGCACCTGGCGACGTGCAGGTACAGCAGTACCTTGCCCTTGCTGTCCCCCGGGATGCTGTCGATGATCTGCGCGGCAGGCAGGAGGCACCAGCAGCGGGCAGCTGGATGCGATGGGGAGGGCAGCAGCAGATCCCCGACGAGGCGACGCCGGCAGCGCCGAGCTGTGCCGGCCACGGACAGCAGCAGGCAGCACAACAAGGGCGGCAGCGGCGGCAGGCAGGTCGGGAGCGGGCCAGGCTGGCGGCTGACCGCCACATGCTTGATCGCGCTCCACGGCACGCTGATGTCGGCCTTGGCGGTCTTCACCACGCACCGGTCAGCAAACAGGGCCAGCTGCTGCTTGCCCCTGCAGCAGGGCCGCGGGGCGGAAGCCGAGGAGGTGACGGGCGGCGGCGGCGGCGGGAAGTGAGCAGGCCGTAACCAGCGCCTGCCGCGCACACCTGGGGCTGATGAACATCAGGCCATTGATGACACAGAGGGCGTCGCTGGTGGACACCCTCGGGGCGTCTGCCGCAGGAACTGTGGGGGCTGGCGCTGCGCCTAGCTTCTCGTTGATCACAGCAGCGATGAGCTGCGGTACATCGGAGGATTTGGAGATGTTGGAGTTGCGAAGAGCCCCAAGTAGAGCACCCCCGCTAGCGAAGGGCTTCAGTAGGTCGGCGAGCGCGTCCATCTCCCCGTTTTCTGCCATCGCCACCAATAAATCAGGCGATCACCAATATTTGGGCTCGTTTGCTTTCCCTTTTCGGTTGAAATTTTGCCCAGTCACGCCCCGTCAGCATTCCGACGCCAGACGGCAGCAGCCAGACCACACCAAGGCTCTGCACATGTTGCTGTTTGGCCCTGTACTGGGGTAATGTGCAAAATTACAGGCGGCAATCGGTGCTGTTTGGTGCTGTGACACAGCAAGGTGACGGAAAGCAATGGCAATAGTTTTAGCATTAGTGCTCAGAATCAGTACCAAAGAAATGGATGGAATACTTCTGTCCCATGAATTATATCAAATCATGTGCTGGGGCAGAGGGGCAGCCGACACGACGCTGGCGCCGCTGCCACTGCCCGCCAGCTGGCTGGCGCCCGAGCCTCTGCTGCTGCCCTCCCCCATCTCCTCCTCCTCCAGCCCCACAGCCACCGAGGCAGAGGCCCCGCCGCCATCGCATACTGAACACCAGTCCACGCCGACACACCGGAAGGCCGGCCGCCGGCCATTGCCGTTGCCGTTCCGCCGCTGGCGCGCCGGCTTGACCAGCGCTGCCGGGCAGATGGCGGGCTGCACTGCCGGGTCGCGCAAGGAAGCCGGGTCTACCCCCGTCAGCAGCAGCGTCTGCTCCAAGTCCAAAGCCTCCGCAAGCGCTGTGACGCCCTCCTCGCCGCCGGGCAGCGCCTTGCTGCTGCTGAACTGCAGCAGCCAGGGGGCACGCCCGGAGCAGGCCGTAAACGCACCAAAGCTTTGACAGAATCGTTTGCCCCAGGGCAGCAGCGCAACTCATGAAAGCCAGCAGCTCCCCAGCAGCACCGCCGGCAGCTTGCCTGAGCCTTCAGCACTTGGGCAAAGGACAGGGCATACCGCGGCGGCATGTGGTGCCCCGGGTTGCCGCCAGACCGGCGGATCATGGAGCGCTCAAACAGGCTGGGCCGCACCAGGATGTCGCCCCGCCCGTTGATCAGCACCGACAGGCAGCACTGGTGGAGGAGGACGGGCAGCCCCGGCACCGGATCCTGATCATTCAGCTGCACAGAGCCGGCAGGACCAGGCGGGCCATCAGCCCTTGCTACTACGGTACCAGCCAACGGTACCCAGCCGGTACTGCACTGATTGCACCAGGCGACTTCTTCTACCAGCACCAGCACCAGCAGCTAGGCCAGCAGGCCACCCACCATCGCCCATGAGTCTGGCACCAGCTGACGGAACTCGCCCGCAAACGCAAAGTTGCCCACCTGCACACGGCCGCCCCCCTCAGCCGCCGGCGGAAGTCAGCAGGGCAGGAGGACCAACACACACACACAGCACATGATGCAGCAGGCAGCACGGCACTGCGGCCCACCCAGCCAGCCAGCAAGGCGTCTCACCTTTGGAGCGCCGTATGTGTAGCAAGTGATGTCTGCCTCAGGGAAGCGGCGGGCCGCGTCCTGCGCTGCCAGCACCGCCAGCGAGCCGCCCAGGCTGTGGCCTGCATGAGGAGCAGCGCAGCAGGGCAGGGGGCGGGAGGATTCGCTGGCCCAGCATTGCTGAGAGGCTGTTGCGACACACACACCTCCCCACAGCCCAGGGCAGCCCGCTGGCCCTCGCTTAACAACCAACCTGTGAGATAGATCTTGAGGCCGACACCTGGGGTGAACCCGGCTACGATGCCTTCCAGCCTGCTCATCACCTGGTGCCGCTCCTCGTTGGCGGTGTAGGCCTGCAGGAAGCCTGCATGAGGGAGGGCCAGAGGCTCCTGGGGCAGGACACTCTACCTGGCAGAGCAGGCAGGCAGGCAGGCAGGCAGGCAGGCAGGCGGGCAGGCATGTGGCTGGCCAGCGCTCACCCGCATGCGCCTTCACCAGCAAGCCCAGGTGGTGGCGCCTGGGCAGCAGCGGGGCAGTCCACGCCTTGACGTCGGTCAGGGCGTTCGCCTTGCTGGCGGTGCCGCGGAAGGCCAGCAGCACGCAGCCATCCCGCCAGCTCAGCAGTGCCCTCGTGTCCGTGGGCGTGTCATGCATCGCCTCGAAGCCGGCGAGCCCGAACAGAGCCATGGCGCCCTCCTGGCTCATGCCGCCCTTGGCGCCCGTCCACTGCAGGCA